GCAGGAAGTACTGAGAAAAAATAAATTAATTCAGCCATATCTGTCTGAAGAGGTTTTAATAGAAATTTAATTGTTGCCTTATTTCTAAAATCATGAAAATGGTCAGCAAGTTCAGTTTTATCTTCTCAATTGCTTTTGCTAAAAACTGAAAATTAGCTTCAGATTCAGTGATTTTCCTATATTTTTTCAAAGCTGGAAAATGAGCTAACCTTCCAGTCATCATAAGATTATAAAACAGCAATAATTTTCTTTCAAATGATGTTTTTTTTTTAATGTCCCTTTAGAACATAGGCAAGCGTGACACTCCAGAAATACCTGTGAATTGCCATGCCTAATTGGATAAAAATAGTGGAGTGATTTCCTAGATGTCTTCTCGATGATTTGAAAGATTTTCTTCTATTAGACTAGTTGCCATCCAAGACTAAAGAGTTCAATCTATTTAATCGAAGGAATCATGGCTTAATTTATTTTTCTTTATTATTTATGAATTGCTATACCTTTTTGAGAAAGACTGTAGATTGGTTTCCGAATGACTTCTCTACAGTTTGGTATCCAGAGTTTTTCTTTTCTTAAACTGAATTTTACCCAGAAACTAAAGAGTCCAATCTAATCTGCTATTAACCCATAACTGGGGGGAAGAGGCAAATTCAGGAGCATTTGTGAAAAAGTGAAGCCTAGCCCAGAATTTGTTCTTAGTTCCAATTTCTGCACCAATATCCATTATATCTCTTCTAAAAGTGAAATAACTTTTCATTAAGTGAAATATTAAACTTTTGTTTTTCAGAATTGTAAATTTTCTGAACTTTTCTGCCGTTTCAAAGCCTTGACCTATTTTCTTAATAAGTAATAGAGAAACAAAGATTTCTTTTGCCTTTAGAGTTTTATACAATTCAGAATAGTTCCTGCAGATGAAAACCAGTTATGCAGTTTTTGACAGCAACACTTGAATGATATTTTTCCATGCTGAAGGAGTCACAAAATGGCATTCTGTAGATCTCTCCTTGTTCTGTCAATCCTGGTTCCATTAATGAGCTTTAAGAGTTTAATAGTTTAGCATTTTAGACTTGGCCTATTTTATACATAAGGAGTAGACACACACTTACTCATGGAGTTCATTTCCTTTGTTTTCACTAATCAAAACATATAATTAGTGTCTTACATGATTAAATACTATTGTACATATAAGTAGGCCAAAGGAATAAACCAATGATACATTTCTATGTTGCAGGTCTTATAAACCAAACCAAGCTTGGATCTTGTAGCATATGTGCAAAAATTAGTAACCAGAGTTATACCCCTTGATACAGGACATTCCTGAATGAGATTCTGATGTGGTGTGAAATAAAAAAAAAAATGAGAGCTCACCACAAGACACAGATCTAACATAGTTCAAGGAAGAAGAGAATTGTTCACTTTATAAGCAAAGAGATTCAGTATATTTAATGGCACATAAGACCTTCATTTTATTTACATTTAATAATACATACTTATAGAATTAGGCTAAGTAAAAGGAATGATAGTCTACAACATCTCGGTAAACATTAGTCTACAAGATTTCTCAACTTTGCATGCAAGACTGGAAAGATATTTTTTTGAGATAAAAAAAACAAAGTGGGGCTCATGTGCTATTAAATACTTGTTGGTCAGAACTGGTATTAATGGGACTGGCTCCATTTGTCTTTTCCTTGATTAAATGCTGGAAGAATGGTTCATTCATTATATTGCTCCAGAAAAAAAACCTGTCCAATCCTCTGTCCAACCTTGACAGAGTTCAAAAACACTTATGTGTGATTAATTATTGTCCACCGGGCAACCATTATTCAACCAATGAAACACTGCTAGCTTTTCGCTACTATATTGCTATGGCATATGTTTGGACAAGTTACATTCCTTAGTGACACCAGCTCAGATCTTCACAGCTTGAACTCACCATGCTGTGTTCATGGTGGCAAACCATCTCCATTCCCTTTGATAAAAAGCAAGTTCCACTCAAACAGCATCATCATCAGAACTGTTACTTTGTAGAAAAAATCCCAAGAGAATGCTTCCCTGACAACTACCATTTTGGTTTCTAAGTCCATGGTCAACCAATATCCATCTTACTAATATTATGCTCTCTTACTTCCCTCTCCCTTACAATATCCCTCAGTAACCCTCTACCTTGAGTAGTCCTTGGGCCTTGTATTGGGTGAACTGTCAGTAAAAAAAAATGTTGATTCATCAATTCTAATCCTAAAGAGTTTTTCAAATAGAGTTTAGTAACCAAGACCTGTACTAAATTTCCAATTTATATCTAAGTATTGGCAAATTTTTAGAAACCATTTTAAAACTATTCATAATCCCAATATTATCAAAAGAGATTATTGCCCTGAACTCATATTTAGCATTGTCCCAATAATAGTGGAGAAAAAAAAAGCAGGAGTTAAGAAAATGGTAGTATTTATTACCTTTCAATTCCCTTCAGCCAAACCAGTTTGCTTACATGTTTCGTATGTACACGCAACACCTTGTTTAAATATTTGCTCAGTTATGCAAACTTCGATACAAGGGAATACATATGTGAGTAGATATTTGCTAAATTTAGCAAACCCTAGAACCAGGCTAAATTGATAGCTGGGAAGAGATGAGCTAAAGAAGGAGAATTGCTCCCAATGTTCCAAGAAGGAAGGTATGACCCATCTTGAATTGAAATTAATAACCCACATTCAAAATTCTGATTTTTCTTGGGCATAAATACTAACCCCTAGCACAAAATATGCAATAATTTCATCCATAAAACAGACATTGACATTATCCTCTTTATTCATATTTCTTCTATGTGACATGTTCCTTCCTCCACAACTTCCTATCCTTTGTAGCTCTCAATAAATTTTGTATTTTTGTCATCTCTCCCAAACCCAACTCCACCATTCATTCACTCAAGCTCACCAGGTAGGTTATGCATTGTTTTCCTCTGTCTTTCTTGCATTCAATCTGTTCTATTAGTATCAAATTTTCCAAACACTCTTTCCTCATTATGTGCCCTAGAAACTTCAACTATCTCTTCCTGATGTTAAGCAAAAATGTCTTTTTCATTTCTATTTTCTCTTGAACTTCGTTGTTGCTCACATATTCAGTCCATGATATTCTCAGCATCCTTCTGTAAAAGCACATTTCTGTTTCTTCAAGTCCCTTCTTCATCTGTAAGGAGATTGTCCAGCATTCACTCCCTTATTTTCTAAGGCTAAATTGGACAAAATAAATATAGGAAGATTGTGTTGTGTCAATCTTCAAAAAAAGGAGAGCCTGCTTGATATGAAAATTATTATTTAAAATCCTGGCTTTAAGCAGGGCTGAAACACACATCATTGGTAATGGTAATATTAATCATTTCCTTATAAGGAAACATTCAGCATTCATTGAGTGAACAGCCAGTGCTGCTTTTGATTAAAATTTATCAAATCTTTCTCTTAAAACAATTTTTCAGTAAAATAAGTTTCTCAATTCCACTAGCTATTATTGTCCTTTCCTGTACATGAAGGCTTCCTTGCTAACTCTTTGTTTGAAGTAGTGTAGAACATTAACATCTTGATTATATTTCAGTACTAATTTGGCAATAAAGTATAATCAATAACAGTTGAATTTGCTAGATGTAACTGTAAGTTCTATGCTAACAGTTTTTTCGCACATTTATGTAAGTTTTCCAGCTCCATGATTTCCAGCCAACTTTGATCTTCAAAACTTTAAATTCAATGTCAGTCATTATCTACTGTCTTCCTGATTACTCTTCTATTGTTCTTGCTCCTTAATAATGTTTCTCTTTCTTCTTATTCTTTCACACCCAGTAACCTTTTGTGTCTTAGTGGTTTTAGTGTCTTGCATAGGGTGAAATGATTAAAAAAAAAAGAAAAAAAGAAAAGTCATTTTCTCTTTGAGTTACATATCCATTTCAGCTGTCACTGTAAGTATTTACAGTGATGTGGTTTGTTATTTGGCACAGTTCTTTGTGATTTTGTAGTGCCAATTCACAAGGTTCAAAGAAAGATGGTCTTTGATGAGACCTACAAGCTTCATTTGCTCAAATCTACTTTTAACCATTGATCTGAAAGTGATTGTATATAGCTAAGAGTTTAGATATTTCTGAATGGGTTTGGTGCCATGAATGGTATCCACATTAGTGGGAAATATATGCAACTATCTTAGCCACTAACCAATTTAGGTGCTGTATATGATGGGAGATTCCACTAGGACATATTGGAGGTGGAACTGAGGTATCAAGGCTCGTTCAATCTAAACATGATGGATGACACTGCTAGTTCCTACAATGGGAGACCAGCTCAATACCCCATTAAAAGATCAAGCATCTAAAATATTTATGAAAAATTCCCATCAAATAAATTTTAATTGAACATAAATTAATTACTATTTACTTTGAACACATATTTAAACAGTTTCATGGTAATACAAAACTTAATTATAGCTTAAAGAGGCCAATCTCAAGAATGGCTAATTAGAGCTGACAGAAAAACAGATAAAAGGAATCGGACATATTCAGATAGAAGCCAGGATTTACAAACTCACCTGGGATATACTGAATTTCTTTCCATACCACAATACATATTTAAGTTTTGAAACAATACTGAGAGAGAAAGAAAGAGGAAAAAATACAAAACAGAATTGCAATATTTATTTTTTCATACATTCTCTTCTCATTAAGGATGAAGAAAAATTAAATCCATGGTGCACAGTATTTTTACCCAATACCCTCAAAAGTTATGTATTACAAGTTTACAAAGAAACATGTTCTCACAAAGAAAACATATACCATAACTCATTAACCAGGGATCCAAAGTACTTCAAAATTTTGGACATCACTAACTCAACCACCAAACATTCAATTTTGTGCCATAGTAACACTACGAATCTGAGCATAATAAATAAAAAATATGTACAAAATCATTTTTCTTTTTAAAATTACAAACTTAAAATTAAAAAAAATAATACTAAACCAAAATACTTACCATCCATTGTAAGCAAAAAGGCCAGAATAAAATGCCAGGGAGATTTTTGTTACATCACTTTCTGAATCTTGGAATGAATTGTCAAAATATTCCACATTTCCTGAAAAAGTTAATTCAAATAAACAGAAAAAGGACAATTTTCTAACAGAAATTTTACATATAATACCTAGATTAAAGAATTTATGAACAATAAGTTATTGAGTATAAGAATATAAGTTTCTAATATATAATGAAAATATATATCAGCAGAACCTATTTGGATTACCATCCGAAAGTTCATTTTTATTAAGTCTAAGCAGCTTTCCCTCTAAGTAAAGAATAGCTGCTGATTCTAAATGTGACCTGTAGGATATTTATACTGCATATTATCTGGTAATATTTCTTCTACTTCTTTTTAGTTGTGCACATATTTATAGTTTTTTACATCAAATGGCTGTGAGGAGTGATCAGAGATAACTGGTTAGCTCCTTTGTTTCTTCCTTTGCTCCACTTTTTTCTAAACGTATTTTTGTACATCTATATTTCTGAGATGAAGTATTGTAACTATTTAAACTTTTTACATTGTTTGGACTTTATCCTTGTCTTTATTATCATATTCACAACTTTTCAGCCTTCTTCAGGCAATATATGTTGGAATTTCAAACTGAAGCCTTTATTTAGTTCCCAAGGACACATAGACAAAAGCGTTGGCTGAAGTAATCCAAAAATGACTTGTTCCAAAGAGTTATGAATTCAGTACCTGGCAACAGCAGGTGTGAACAAAAACTTGGAGTGTTGAGTTACTAAAGAGAATTAATTGAAACTGAGATATCCAGAAAAGGCATGGTGGCATGGTATGTGGAACTAGAACAATCTACTAAATAAAGAGTTTGGTTTGAAATTCCAACATATATCACCTGAAGAAGGCAGGAGCATACAACGGCCAAAATGTTATACTTATACTTAAAAATTTTCATGTTTAAAGCCCTAATGATATATATATATATATATATATATATATATATATATATATATACTGGATAAAATATTACATAAATTTTTTATATATTAAGAACAGTTTTGGGGGAAAGATATATGACAAAAGTGGAAAAGGTTTTTGTGTAATGCGTTATGTTCCTTAGGACTTCATTGGACTAAGTTTGTTTATGTTGATGCGACTACATGCGCACAAACAAGAGATGCTGGGAGTTTTAAACTTTTGGGTATATAATCTAGCCAATTTCATTTAGATTCTTCTTCTTTTTGTTTCCATCATATTTGTCATTAAATATCCCAATTTGTGATAACAGAAGATATTCCAAGAATGGTGAAATGTTCTAAGAATCTGGATACAAATTTACTGTGGATGAATTAGTCATTAAAGCATTTTCTAAACATTTTTGTCTTAGTGAATTATTTTCTCTTAATTAGAGTAGCATTTTTTGTGTCAGAATTGTGATCAGTCTTATTATGGTGAAAAAAGAAAAAAGAACCTAAATGAAATTGGAAAGATCATGAAAACAAAAACACATAAAAAAAAAAAAATTTTTTTTCTAAATTTAAAATTCCCAGCTTTTCTCATTTGTGCACAGACTTAGTCTGATGAAATCCTAATAAAACTTTTTCCACTTTGTCATACATCTTTTATACACACACACATACAGCTTGCTTCAAGTGGGTAATCAAGTGAGGATAAAGCATACTACACCTGTAAATTGGCCTGCAAGATGAAATTGTCAACTCTTGCTTTATGTTCAGATATCTCAAGCCCCATACACTCCAATTGTGGATTATGGGTCCACAGCCTAAACACACAAGGCATTTGCTGCTGAAATTTCCATAGCAAGTTAACTTTTCATGGAATGGAATTGCTAGCCCCATTTAAATTTAGACTTGTGCTTCTCCTTGACTGGTTGCCAACCAAAGGTGAAGAGGCCAGTCTACCTTACTAATTAATCCCTAGCTGGGGTTATTTATGTGAAAGTGAATATTACAAACTCAATTGGAATTCAAAATTTCTTGTTCAAAGCTGCTATCCATTACACCATCCCACATCCTCATATGAAAGAAAACATTATTATTTGAGGTATGTGACAAGTATGACAGTTACTGCTCCATAACAACTACACATGTCAGGGTTAGAGGAAAATAAGCAGGTAAGCCAGCCTCGGGAACTTCGTTTTGATGTGTTGAATGACACAGCTATGGGCAAGAAGATTTCAGTACCTTTGATAAATGGTTAACTGTAATAACCTGAGAACTAAGAATATTTTCAAAATGCTACAGCTTGCAGAAGGCTCATGTTCAGTTGTCATATAGCAGATAGTGCATTAGTCCTGGTTTTATTTGGAATGGGATATGCTAACCAATTGGCACCAGTTCTGATAAGTCTTGCTTCCTGCCAAAGAAAATGGACGGCAGGGTATGAATGTATCTATTGTTATTATGTGGACACAATAATACTAGTATGCATTACAAAAAAGCAACAAGCCAATGGAGCCAGTGTGATGGTTTTGGCAACATTTTTTTCTTAAACTATTATTCACCCAATACCATGCCTAAGTGCCAGTGAAGGTAGAGGGATTTTAAATGGGGACGTTGTAAGGGTATATACGGAGGGAGTAAGTATTGCATATTATGATGATATGTAGGATAGATAACAGTTGACCTTCAACTTGAAGAGGTTAAGATTGTAGCAATCAGGGAAACATACTTTCAGGAGTTCATTCTACATTGCAACAGTTCTGATAAAGAAACTGAGTGGAACTTCCTCCTTATTAATGGAATATGAAGGGAATAATGATGTCAACTCAGTGTACATGGCATGATGAATCCTTGCTGTGAAGGTCTGGACTGGTGGAACAAAGGAATGCAGTTTGCACTGACATCTTCCATGAAAATAGCAATAGAGTCACAAGAAACTAGCAATGTTTTGTCTGTGGGAAAGAGGCTGTAGAATGGAAAACAATTCAACACCCACATTCCACTGAGAAACACTAGGTCCTATCAATTACGTGGAGGGTACCTTGTTGTGTGGCACTTATGTCAATATCATTAAAGACTGGGTACCAAATTTTTATGATGGAAATGGAAACTTTCAACAATACAATATGTCCTACCACAGTGAATGGGAATGTTTGCAGGGAACTTGAATATTTTACTGTACCAAGCTCCCCAGATTTAAATCCCATTGAGCACTTACTGTTCTGCTTTGCAAAACCTCCACAATATAACTTGCAGTAGTTAATAAACCTCCTGATAATATCCTGACAGTAAATCCCAGAAGAAATATTTAGAGAAGTTTTGTAGAGTTCATGCTTGATTGGGTACAGTTGCTTTTCAGCAGCAGCCCATTGCAGTTTCATGACTGGATTCTGCAGATCTCATTCCATATGTGACACAGAGGAAGGTTATGAAATCAAGTGTGTGGATCACTTGCTGGCAAGTTGAAGTCCACCTTAAACAAATTCACGCCATTGGTGCTTTCTTCTACTGATTTTCTTTCACCTTAACCAACTCTTGCAAAGCCAAATGGCAATAGGGAATGGATGATCGGAGCAAGTTTTGGTGAAACTGGAAGCTTCTCCTCCTGAACCAGCACATTGGTAGCAAATTTAGTCATCAACACCATCATCATAAAGGAAGCAACCAGCAAAGAAGAAATTAAAGTTTTGGATATAAGATAAAGCTGATGATAGCTTTTATGAATACAGGGAGTACCAACAGTGGAGTAATGGATAGCGGCTTGGATTGAGGAATTGGATAGCCGAGTTCGAATTCCAGTCGAATCCATTACATTCACTTACGTGCTAATACTCTTTGGAAAGGTGTGAATCCTCTTCTTCTCCCTCCAGTTATGGGTAAATAGCAGGACAGACTGGGTTCTATAGCCTTGGATGGCAACTGGTCTAAGAGAAGGAAAACTCTGAATTCAAAACCTGCGGAGGGTCGTTTGGGGACCTTGTGGCACGTAGTGCACCAGGTCTCTGTAATCAGCCCCTCAAAAAGTGTGGATGGTCCTGCACGAAACCTTCACCACTATCATCAAATCCCATGTGCTATACATGCGGGTTTGGAGACCGCTTGTGAATTCCAAATTCCCATGAAACTCCAATATTGGAGCCGGCTCAACCAACCCCGGGTGAATGCCATTACAAGAAGAAGAAGAAGAGGAGTACCAACAGCCAAGAAAAAGGACTTTTTCCCAATATTTTCAATATTTCTGTGCATGTATGTTCAAGAGGGATATATCCATAAGCTTGCTGCCACATATAATTAATGAACTAAATTTTGACCTGAAATATTCACTGTTTTCATATTATTATATGGGAAATGATATATAAATTTTTATATATCAGAACAATTTGAGGAGAATTTATCTAAGCTTAACATAAAAGTTGTTACAAGTACTTCTAAAACAATAAAAGACTTAATACAAAACAAGATAATGAACTAAAAATTTAAGGAATTTACTCTATCACCTGTAATAATTGCTACAAGGAATACATTGGAAAAACCTCAATGAATTTAAGTAAAGGATTATATGAAAACAAAAAGGATCTTTTACAAAACAACATGCCCAATGCATTAGCTGCTCGATGTAATCAGTGACCATAATACTGACTTAAAAAATACTACTTTAATTAAAAGAGAAAGTAATTTACTAAAACAAAAGTGTTCAGAAAGTGATTTAATCACTAGATCATTCATAGTAAATTTATGCCCAGGTTCTTACAACATTTCACCTTTCTTGACAGTTCTTCTATTATCCCAATGTGGAATATTTAATAACAAAAGTGATAAAAACAAACCAAAAAGAAAAACGAACTAAATGAAATTTGCTGGACTATATACGCAAAACACAAATTTTTTTTTTAAATTTAAATTTCAGCATCTCTCCTTCATGCATATGTGTAATCACATCAATATAAACATCCCTTTATTCTGACAAAATGCATCACATGAAATATTTTTTCCTCTTTGTCATAGATTTTCCTAATATTATTCTATATCAGTTTTTTCAACCTCTTTTTTTAACTTCAGGGAGCACTTGTAAAATAACTAAAATTCTGGGCTGTACATTTAACTTTAATAAGAAAAAAATAGTCATGAAATTTGAAAATAGAAAAATAAAGATGTCTCCTGAAATAAGCATTTATTTTTAAGACATTACATTGTATATTTAAGTCTGCTTGCATGAAACACATGCTTGATGTGCTCTGAAAGCAAAAAAAAAAATGATCTTTAATGGTTATCATTTTTGGTTTAGCATTTCCCAAAGAAGATTAGCAGTACAGTTTTTATTTAAATGGGTTTATGAAGAAACTGCTATTTCTTTTAGAGAGGCTGATAATGACTGATTTAAATCCCTTGAGGAAGGGCAAAAAGGAAAGCATTATAAGCTCCTTACATATTAAGGAATTTATCATTCAGTTTAAAATATCAAATGACAATGACTTGACTTAGATATAGAAGACATGCTTGGTGTCTAGCTTTTTAAAAATAAAGTGTTTTTAAATATAAAAGTGATTCATAAATTACTCTTCTGTTAACATGGGGTGTACCTAGCTACCTTTCAGGGCACATTAGTGTGCCTGGGCACACCAGTTGAGAAACACTATTCTATATTGTATCTTATTTTCAATTAATTGCATTAACATTGATCACTGAATTAAATGCATTGAATAGAAAGGAAAATAAGTACCAGTTATATAAAATAAATGTTTGTTTTTTATCATTAAACTAAATTTATTTATCTACCTAAATATAACATACCTTTCCTAAAGGGATTTAGTGAAAACTTCTCCATATGCTCTGCCCAGATAGAAAAGAATGGGTGAGTGAGCAAACCACTAATTAACTTAACTGCCCAAACAGTAGAGACAAGAAAATGTTTCACCTTTAAGCAACCTTGAATAATAATTCTTGATTATAACACATGGCCCCTAAGATTACTTTATTCCAATGTAAAATAAATACAAGTCAACTATTCAAATAAAATTCACAAAATGTCTTAATAATGAGCAAATATAAAAAAAGGCAATTTAAGTGTCATATAGACATTTATTCAGCTTTGTCTCAAACAGGGACAAATGTGGGGAAGTAAATAAAGTGTAAGGAAATTGTGTTACACCAATCCCCCAAGTGTAAATAAATCCCCCAAGTGTAAATAAATGCCCCAAGTGTAAATAAATCCCCCAAGTGTAAATAAATCTTCCAAGTGTAAATAAATCCCCCAAGTGTAAATAAATCTTCCAAGTGTAAATAAATCCCCCAAGTGTAAATAAATCTTCCAATTGTAAATAAATCCCCCAAGTGTAAATAAATCTTCCAAGTGTAAATAAATCCACCAAGTGTAAATAAATCTTCCAAATGTAAATAAAAGGCCTGCTTTGAAAATAAACATCTTAAATCCAAGGATTTACTTTGAATGAAATGCTTGTGAAAATATATATATAGCTAAAGCTTGGGATATCCAGAATAAAATGGATGTAATCTGGAAATCTGATCTACCAGACAACCTCAAATGGAGGTTCTTTTCACCACTGGTTTTAATGTATGGTGTAACTGCTTGGACATTAACTAAAAGAGTCTAAGCTTGATGGAAGCTACACTCAGATGATGAGAGCTATACTTAACATCTCTTGGAGACAACATCCAATTAAATCACAGCTCAATGGACCCATTCTAACAGATAAATATTTTTATCAAGGTTTAAAAAATAAAAAAATTTCCAAAAATAATTTCATTCATTTGTTAATAATACCTGAAAGTTTCATTAAAATCTGCCAATTATTTGTTTTTTGCAAGAATTTCCTATCAATGCATTTGTCACTGTAAAAAAGAAGATGCTAAAATTTCCTATAATCTTTAGTTCCTCCCACTGGCGCACACACACACACACACACACACACACAAAGATTTTTAAACAAAATTTCAAATGTTCTAAAATGGGTAAAAAAATATAATTTAATAATAAAAAATCCTTTGGTCTTCCCTCTTAATAATAACAAAGATTTTGATGAGAAGACTTCGTTGGTATTAAGTTTGGGGCATTTTTTCATCATGGTATGCCAATTTTTTAGTGAATTAATGGTGATACATATATTTTATTACTATTTTTTTCTGTAACTATAAGCTAAGCTAATGTAATATCTTTCTATTCACAGAAATATATTGTGTTGATTTTTGATGAATAAAACTTTTGTCTATTATTGTATTGGTGTGTTTCACCTACAATTTACAATATATGTTTATGCAACAATTTTTTTATAATTTTTATTTCAATGAATAATTATATCTTCAGTTCAAATTTTGAGTGAATGTATATTATGATGGAGATTGTCTGTCATGTTATTTTTTCATCAATACAACAATATTTTACATAATTGTAACATTATAAACATTTTTGTATTGAGGTGTGTAAACTTTTCTCTTTTTCGGAAATCTGAGGTGACTAATGCAGTGTTAAATAGAAAATGATGTCCCAAAAGCCATTAAGGTATTTTGAAATATTAATTAAAAAAAAAAAAAATTTAAATCATTAAATATTAGCAAAAGAGATGTTACATTTTTAGAAGCCTTTCCTGACTTTTGAGGCGCATCGTACATAATGTTAGGTTACCTTTGCCAAGCTGGACAAATCCTGTAATGATGATAAGCAATAACGCCAAAACTTTAGCATACGTAAAAATATCCTGGACACGGGTTGCCCACTTCACATCCTTACAATTCACAAATGTTAGAACCACTGAAAGAGAAAAAAAATTTAAGATTTATAAATTAGCTCAGCATAAAATAAACTGATCATTATTTTTCAAAAGAACAAAATACAGAGATGACAAGAACAAAATTTTCATGAATCAATGAGCATTTTTATAACATTTTTAATTAAACATGATTTTAAAAATGGGCTTATGAGGTAAAGTATTGTCAATAATAGCTTTGTCTGGCCCAAAGCCAAATATACAGAGATAAGATATAATCTTTCAAAATTTTGAAAATTAGCATTAAAAGAAAACTTGTTGCATTTACCTATGCTTGAATACAGACAACTATCATTGGTAGCAAATGCACAATTATTTCAACCACCAGGTAGACCATGATATTCTATTGGCTCACTTCTACACAAGACTAAATTGGAAGAAATAGAAGTAGGAAGATTATTTTGTGCCAATTTCCCAATCCTGGTTTTTAACTGGGTTAGAACACCTGTCACTAGCACTAGCAAAATATAAGCAACCATTTCAGCCATGAAATAAACATTGACTTTACCTTACTTATAAAAGGGTAAATTAGAGGGAATGGAAATAGAAATATTGTGTTATGTTAATCTCCTGTGCCTGCATTTAAAATAAGCATTCATTATCATAGCTTTTACCAAGATTTGAATATTAACTCAATCAGTCAGTTAAGTGCCATATGTGATATACACTTGGGCAATCATGTCTCTTTTGATTCATGACTGACTAACCAGAAGATTTTCCTGCAATAAGTTGCCATTTCTTTCTGTGGTAGAGTGGATGCCAACCAAGACTACAGAACCCAGTCTTCCCTGCTATTCAACCCATAGTTTTAAAAAAAAAAAAGAACTTCAGGCAGTTTATCCACAGCCTTGAACATAATACTCAACATCTTATCTGGAAGTCGGAAAAGTATAATAAAAAATGAAACCAACAGACCAACCTTTGTGTGATTATTCTATTCAGTAACCTTCCCTAGGTTACAACAATATGATTAAAGGAAATAAATGTCATAAAAAGCTATTTGAAAAATTATGTGATATGAAGTATATGACTATGAATATTTAATAAATGCTTACAATTTATATCACTTGAAATATAAAGACAAGTATCAACTTGTCAATTGTCAAATATTCATGGATGCAGCTAGTATTATAATAAAGTGACAAAATAGGTCCCTTAGAACACCCATAAAGTAAAATGGAAAGTGAATAATTTTATCTGGCATGGCAGTTTTTTTTATGACTACATAGACAATGTAGCCATGTCATATTGCAAGACAGATTCTCATCTGATCACCAAAGCTAAGCAATGCTGAGCCTAATTATTATTTAGATGGGTGACTGTTTGGGGATACCAGATACTGTAAGCTTGGATGTATGGTTGGTGTGATGAATAATGTCCTGGAATGAAAAATCGGAGTTCAAATTCCAGTAGAGTTTGTTACATTCACTTTTGTGCAAATGACCTTGGGAATGTTATGAAACCATCCCTTCCCTAGCTATAGGTTAAATAACATGACAGACTGGGTCCAATAGCCACAGAGAAATAATGGCAGCCTACTGAAGGAATTCTTCTATCAAGTAAGTCATAAATCAAAAACAAAACAAAATCACCCAAGTGCGTATCACACATGGCACCTCAAAAAGAAAGGAGAGTCAAAATGAGAAAAAAATTATCCAAGTGTGTATTGCACACAGCACCTCGGGAAGAAAGGAGAATCAAAAAGAGATATGATCGCCCAAGTATGTATCACACATAACACCTAAAGAAAAAAGACAGAATCTTCAAAACAACCACCAGTTAACTGAAAGGAAATAAAATAAATGGATAAAAAGTTTTAAGACCTAGGGATCCTTGGCTGGGGGTTAAGAAATTCCATTTACAGGCTTAAATTAACTGGGCCACAGGTAGAATTGGCAGAATAGGTTTGGGTTACCCATTAGAAAATATTTTCAGTCTACCAATGGCCATGTTGTAAACTGTACAGTATAATGTAGAGATGGGCAGAGGAATGGTAGGAAAGTTGAAGGGAAGAGCTGATCCATTAGTCTGTCATGTCAGAAATAATAAAACTTCTGACAAATTTCCCCTACCTATCTACTTACCTAAACTGTGCCAACTGAATATCTGAATAAACAACCAAATATATTGAAAATAAAATTTGCCTTTTCATTTCTCACTGTGATGATATTTCCACCTTTTATTTATTTGTGAATGTACAACTCGCCTTTCCCAGTTTCAGGGAATACAAATGCTATTGGGATTTTCCCAATTATATTTGGTAACAAAAATATTGTGACACCGACAAGAAGAAAGGAACACAAACACAGATGAAAATATTTGAAAAAACTTGTATTGTAAGAAAAGAGAGGAAAGTTTCATTGCAAACAGTCGGGTTTGCGGACCTTATCTGAAAGATGTGTCCTTTTAACAGTTTTATATTTCCTGTGTCGTTTTGGCTGGGTTGAAGAAAATAGAGTCTTGACTTCTGTGCTTCAGTTTCTGTCTAAATCCACACATGTGTCCTGGTGTTTAGATGACGGAGAGTGCAGACGGGGAACGTGTTGTCTCTGAGGGTCCCAACAAGTAAAAGAGGAAGAGAGTTTGTAAAAACCGCTCTCGTGGGGGTTTGGGGAAAATCTAAAAAGGTCCAATCACAGGGTACCCATTTAGCAACTCCGTAATAATTTCAATAATGCAAACAAGAAACTAAACTCAATTTGGGATGATTTGTGCAGTCAGTGAAAAACTGACAGAAGGGTATGTTTAGAAAATCTGTGTTTAAATAACACTGACCAACACATGGTCTTGGTGCAAGCTTACACTTTTTCTTGCTGAATGTAAAACTAAAATTAATTTTTTACTGGTTAGCTCCACATTTTACTGTACAGAAATTGAGCATTAAAAAAAAAAGAAAAAAAATTTATAGCCAAATTTCCCATAATGTTCAACTTTTAAAGGATTCCTGCAAAAAAACATGTTATTGAATATTATAAACTATTCAAACACCTGATTTTTATATTATGATAATGCAAGGTGATAGTGTAATTGTATTTCTCAACAGAAACAATATAAAATCTTTGGATATAAACTCATTACAGCCTATACCAAACATTTGTGATAGAGACTTGAATTTGTCAATGATATTTAGGTGATTAAAGTGATGAGTAAGGTGAAAAATTCCACCAGAACATTAAAGTTATGGAAGTGTATCAACATGGCACAAAAGAAAGATGGCTGACTACAGCAGAAACTTAAAACGGGAGAAATCTATTAAGCATTTATGAAAATCAAATAAGCAAAAGTTCTTGCCGTGACTACCAATTGCTCACAATTATTGAATTTTAATCACTTATTGTGTTATAATTCATTTCTATTTCAGCAGTAGTGTTTTATTTCACACTAAGATTGTGTATAAGCTTCAAATGAACATTTACTTTTATTCTTCACATCCACAATGACCTAACCCAATCATAACATTTTTTTCATAGGATAGGGTATTCTAGGAAAGAAAAACTAAAGCTAGTGCTGGAAAATGGATACTATTTTTGGATTCAACACTTTAAAAATGGCTCAAAATTAACCAAAGCCGCAAATGCACTATTTAAACATAAACATTTTTTGTAAGTTTGTATCCACTTAATTTTAAAATTTTCGAAATGTCTTTCTGCAGCATAGCATGTCTCATATTAAGAGGATGAGTTGCTAACATCAATTTATGATATCCCTTCTAAATAAACATTAATACTTTTCAATTGTTGATAATTAAAGTGTACTGGCTCTCACAGTATAAACTAGGTACCTCCAAAAATTCGGTATACATAAGGTTTAAATGTATTTTTCATAAAGGAAAAATCCTTTTCAAAGCTTTCCAACCACTTCACTTGAAATCTAGAGGATTAAATTTTCTAATTCCAGAAAAAAAAAAAAATACTGCGAAGTATTTCAAATAGAAATTTGAATGATTTTTAGTCGATGCTTCCGAAAAAACAATCGAAACGGCCATTTTTGACTTTTTCTTTAATGAAATGTAAATGAACTTATTTTTTAGTTTTAAAATTTCTGCTAAAATAAGATATACATTTCTGAAACGTTACTTTTGTAAATTTAGCAAATTTAAAGTTAAATTAATCTGTTCTGAAACAAAAATCACTTACTTATAGCATAAAATTTTCTAGACAAACATTTCTTGACCTTGGGGTCTTGTTATTTTCACATCTCCATCGATAATTTGATGACTGAATGTGTTGACAGGTTTAGTACGGTGCATCAAAAATGACATAACGTTTTTTTTTGTTTCTTATAATAATTTAAAATACTATAAAAATTTCTTACATTATTGAGTCACCTCTATCTCATTATTTAATAGCTAAGATAATGATAACTAATTTTATTAATTATTGATATTACATTAAGTTATTACATTTTTAATTTAATAACTGAAATAATAACTAATAAAATTATTATTATTATATTAATAATTAAAATATCTCCCTGAGTTGTTAATTGTTTAAATTGATAAATGAGATCATTTTATTATCTCAATTTAATTTTTAATTTAATAAGTGCGAGTGAAATAAGACCTTTACATGTCAAGGGGCTTTGCCCAAGGAGGAGACAAGCTTTGAAACACATGACCTTTTAACCATAATGTCACTTATGAGATATCATACTAAAAAAAATATAACATTTTGACACACAAGAAAAATTTATTTAATTATGATAAAAAGTATTGGCAGCATTATTTGTATTAAGCTTTTAATTTTCGCTTAGTAAATATAGTCTTCACTTAAAAACTTAATAACCAACCCCACACTCTGCATGAAAGAATTTTAAAACATTTTTTAAAATTAAAGAAAAATGAAAAAAAAATTAAAAGAAAAATGGAAACAATTCTTGTAAAAAATTCTTTGTTCATCGAAAAAAAATTTTTTTCTTCAGATAATAATGTCCTTAATTCATATTATTTATAAAAGCAAATAAAAGCCTATATAATTTGATATTT